TTTAATTTAATTAATATGAAATTTATCAGAGGATTAATCTGCACACGCAGCTTTTATTTGTGTACTTTATCATTTCTCTTTTTGTATATTGCTAATTTTTTATTGATAATAAATGATAGATAAATTTAATAAAAAAGTACCAAAAATATGAAATAATAATTGCTCAGTAACAAAAACTATTATAAACGATTGAACAAAAGAAAAGATTAACTATCTTTTAATAGTAATGTCTTTGGTTTTGCTTGGAAGGGGTGTGTACGTACGAGCCTCTACTTCCACTCGAAGACAATTGGGGTCTATTGTGATTTCTATAAAAGAAATACAAATTAAAAGAGAAAAAAATTATTTAAAGTAACCCAGCAAAAAAAGAACTTCCAAAGAAGCGAAAAAGAAGTAGAATTTACTCAATGGAAGTACTGAAAAAGACCTGAAGAAGTCATGATTTTAACACAGGCTTGTCATAGGAGGGATGCCCTTTTTATTTGATTCCAAATTCACTACATCTGAAGTAATTTTTATGCTCTTTTTTTGGAAGTTATTCGGAAGTGAAATTGTAGTATTATAGAAAACAACTAATTTGACTTAAATAATATTAACGTTAATTAGGGTAACAGACACATTTAATACAAAAACCCAATTATAACATTTTTTATCCCATAAAAATGTTAAAACAAAAAATATGTATATATTTCACATTGAAAAAGTAGAATTCGGAAGTCTTTAAAATTCAATTAGTTCCACATTTGAAGTGGTGATATTTGTTATTCTTTTGGAAGTATTAATTATAACATTTTTTATCCCATAAAAATGTTAAAACAAAAAATATGTATATCTTTCACATTGAAAAAGTAGAATTCGGAAGTCTTTAAAATTCAATTAGTTCCACATTTGAAGTGGTGATATTTGTTATTCTTTTGGAAGTATTTCGATTTATTTTTGCTGGAAACATAGAATATTTGAAATATGTTTAAAAAATATTTCAATTTCAAGTTTACCTCTGGCCTATTTTTAAATTTGAAATACATTTGAAAAATAATTTTGATATCTAACTTTCTTTTTGTTTGAAAAGGAATCCAAAAATGTTTTCAAAATTTATTATCAAAGGCAATGCACATTGGTTCAAATCATCACTTTTTCAGTGCGAAATTAAGATCGACAAAATAATGAAACTCTTTAAAGTTTAAGATGGAGCATAGGCATGAATATGTATATTAGAAAAAATTTTAACGAAAATTAAGCCTTTAGTGGTTATTAACACATTGTCTACAATTAAGATGACTTATATAACACAACTTTTTTCATTTTGGAAAGACTTGTCGGACTCTCGAAATTTTTTAGAACTAATTTCCAGCGTGAAGATCTTTGCTTCCAAGCAGCGGTTGCTACTGCCCGAAATAATAAATCAGTTTTAATACAAAATTTTTTTCTTCCTTCCTACTGCAATTTTCCATTTTCCAATTACGAAAATTCGGACCGTTAAATACAGTAATTCCTTGTAAACACCGTGGATAACAGGATGACAAAAACACATGTCTGATAAGGACATCATCCTTTGCGTAGTCCTTTAATCAAATTTGAAAATGCTTATAAGGTAGCACCCTAGAAAATATTAAATTACTCAAAATGCGCAATTTCGGATAGAGTGAAAGTAATTCACAACATTTCAAGTTGTTCATTTCTTCTTATTTCAGGTTTAACAAACGTTAACATATTCTTAAAAGCTTTCATGAAGTTAAAATTTTAAAATCAAATTTAATTTTTTCAAGGTTATTTTAAATACATATTGTCTTTTTCGAAGTGAAGGAATATTATTTCCAAACATTTACATGAATATATACAAGTAAAAAAGTATAGTCGCGCGTGGCCGACCATATGATACCCTACACCAGTTATGAATATTAAATGTGATTTATTTTTCATAATATTTTTGAATATGTATTACCTTGATTCCGATTTATTTAAGCAATTTATTGACGAAAAACTAATTTTCTTAAAGAGGATTTATATGGGGGATAGGAGCAAATGTGGACCGATCCCTATAAAATGGGCTGGATATATTTGTATTTATTAGGGTGATCGATTATTCGACATTTTCCAAAAACCGGTTTTCGAATAGTTCGAATAGTTGACATTTAAAAAAAACCGGTTGATATTTTTCAAATTCAGAAAAAACCGGTTAACCGGTTTTTCATTATAAATAAAAAAAAATATTTTAATTTGAAAAACTTAATGTTTATGTTTAAATTTGATTAATAAAACATGGCCAGAAACGATTTTTAACAGTTTAAAAGATTATAACTATAGATCTAGTCGTCTGATTTACATTATTTCATTAATATAAAAAAATTAGGAAAAAAGTGGGACACTTCTGTTAAACATAAGGTACTATGTAATCCTAGCTTATTTCAAAAGCCCTGTTTAGGACAACACTTTCATAAAATTTCAGCCGTAAATTAATTATTGTAAATTGAATATAATCTTAAGATTGATAAAATTTTATCAAACAGTTATCAATTTTACAAATAATTTTTTTTTAATTAATTAGGAAAATCAAAAAAGTTTAACCAAAGGAGCTTTAGAAAAATATACGCTAGTTCCTCGACTCAAATAATTTTAAAATTTAGCTGTATTATTATTTAATTAAAAATTTCATTTAAATAATCTTTGAATACAAAGCAAATAAAAGTATTCGAAACCGGTTTTTAAAAAGTGAAAAAACCGGGTTATTCGATATTCGAAAAATCAACATTAAGAAAAAACCGACACTGGTAAAGCAGAAAAAACCGGTTTTAAAACCGGTTGAAAAATCGAGTCGATCACCCTAGTATTTATATAATATTTGTCTGTGCTAAATTTCATTGCAATAACAGTGTTAATAAATTAATTGCGGATATTCAAGTCACTTTCTAAAGGGGGCTTTGTATGGGGGCTAGGGTCAAATGAAGTCCGATTATCAAGGCTTATACTTACTTGTGCGAACTTTCATCGAGATACATTTATATTATACATAATCATGAGCTCAAAAGCCCTTTTCGGGGGGTTCAGTTATATGGGGGCTAGGTGAAATAATGGACCGATTTTAACCATTTTCAATAGGCATCGTCCTTGGGTCAAAACAAACGCGTATTCTAAACTTCATCAAATTATCTTGCGACCTCTAAATCGACTCAGAAAGTGATTCTGGTATACTTTAAGGTGGGTATAGTACTAATATTTTAATTCGTTACAAACATCAGCACAAACGCATAATACCCTTCCCACTAAAGTGGTGTAGGGTATAATAAACTACTGACACCTACAGTGCTATCCATTTGACAGTTATTGAAAATTATTTACACACTTTCCAGAATTAACGTTTAAAAATAATGATAAAATATAGACTCTACAAAACAAATTTTTTAAATATTTTGAAATGATGACTTTTATTGCGGGCATAAGAACAGTGTTTAGCATTTCGCAAAAATGTATTGCGAATTTGAATATATTGGTGTATTGGTAATAGGATGATATCAAAAAATAAATTGTATTCATTGTTCCAAAATTTGAATTTCGCACAGGAAAACTGGTAGTTTGAACTATAGTGAAATGTATGAAATTTATATATTTATTGAAATACATACATACATACTCGTATGTATTTATATTATTTTAAAGGTTTTTGCATATCTTGGAAATATAATTTTAAATTTGACTACAATCACACGTATTATTTATAATTTTTGTAAATTCTATTAATACAATCTCGTAAATATCGAGATCAGACTAATCTAAAAACAAATCTATGAAAGAAAACATGAATTTATAAACATTTGGCACAAATAACAATGTCTAACTATTTTGTATAATTTTATATTATTTTTGTTTCTTCAGTCAGAAAATTAATTTAAAATTGTACTGTTCTATTTTTAAGGATGAAAATTATACCAACTTTGTCAAGAGGTATAAGTCTGAATTCGTTTTCACTAATCCCAGTGTTATTTCGTATGCTGATTCCGAATATGGAAATAAAAAATTCGTATCACCCACCAATTTTCCACATTTTCACCTTTTTGTACTTTTGACTGTATACTTGAGTCCCAAATGTGAAATTCTGTAATATAACAGAATTCTGTAATATTGGCCTTCTCTACATTTAGACTTATACTTTGAGTTATGGAAATGCATTCTGGAAAAAATGTGCACGATAGGGCCACGTTAACTGGAATGTGTATGCAATTATCGTTCCAATAAGATATAAAACACAAAAATTCTAAAAGTTATTACAAATTCCTCCGATCACAAAATACTTAACTGAGAAATATTAAATTTTTTTGCAAATTCAGACAACTGTATAAAAACTCCAGTTTCAAACTTTTAACAATTTTGTTAGGCAAACTTTAAAACTTTAGGAAGATTTTCATGTGACTTATGGACAATACAGAAGGGAATTAAAAAGTAAAGAAATTAGATCGATATCTCTCACAGATTAGCTGTACCTGCGATTTTAATTTCGAGGATTTCGGAGAAAACAATATTTTGGTAAAATTTTTGAAAAACAGGCTTTATTCTTTACTGTTATGCATTTCTTAATAATGTTGCGAAATTTTATTGAAACCATAGTGAAATATTAATTTATTTTCGATTAAAATGATCCGATTTAAATGAAACTTACGAAATATATAAAATGAAGTCCCATATTTAAGATGACATCGAAAAAATCGAAATTAACCCTTTAACGTATATTTATTTTTTTAATTATATAAAATGTCCGTAATATATCAATAAAATATTCGATACCATTTTGCGAGAAAATGGTAGGTGATAGAGAAAAACAGGATTCATATTCGGTTTTAGCAGTTTAAGCATTAAAATCTGTCGAATTTGTTTCAAAGGTTTTCACAAACCTTCATTTCGCGGTTGTATTATATAATAATAAAGCTTTAACTTTTTAACTAGTGTTTAAACTTTAACATTTTATTATAATATTGTATTTATTTTAATTAATGTTAATTATCTTTAAGATACTAAAATGGATGTCACATCCGATACCAGTAGTCGAACCCTGTCCCACTGCCAAAGTGTCTGTTCATATGGGTCCTCAACTATTGATGACCATGATGATCTAAATGCCAAAGATGATGACATGACATTTTGCATGTCAAACTATGCAAAGGAAGCTTTAAAAATGATGTTTATGATGCGTTCACACAATATGCTCACTGATGTGATACTTGAGGTAAAGCAAGAGCTGTTCCCTGCCCACAAAGTTGTTCTGTCGGCAGCATCGCCATATTTCAAAGCTATGTTTACTGGAGGTCTCAAGGAGACCGAAATGTCTCGTGTTCAATTACAAGGGGTTAGTACTGATTTGTATACAATTGCAAACAATGTAGTAAACAAAAATGTTGTTTTATGTTTGGCTCATATAAATGCATATTTATGTATTAACCTATAGTAAAATATATCTTACGTCTATAGGTGTGTCCGACAGCTATGGGTCGCATCATATATTTCATGTACACCGGTCATATACGAGTGACGGAGGTGACTGTTTGTCAACTGCTGCCAGCCGCAACTATGTTTCAAGTTCCAAATGTTATTGATGCTTGTTGTGCCTTTCTAGAACGACAACTGGATCCAACAAATGCGATAGGAATAGCAAGTTTTGCAGAACAACATGGATGCACAGAACTCCAGAAAAAGGCCAATCATTTTATAGAACGTCATTTTACGCAGGTATCTCAACCGAATATTTTCTTATTCTATTGGGCTTTAATTAAAGATATGAAAATTCAATTAAAGGTTTGCCAAGAGGAGGAGTTTTTGCAGTTATCAGCTTATCAATTGATCGCGTTGATTCGTCGTGATGAACTAAATGTCCAAGGTGAAAGAGAAGTTTATAATGCCGTCCTAAAGTGGGTGAAATTTGACGAGGAAAATCGTTATCCTAAAATGGAACATATTTTATGTTCGGTTCGTTGTCAATTTCTCACGCCTACATTCCTTCGTGAGCAAATGAAAAACTGTGATGTTTTGCGTAAAGTACCTGCTTGCCGTGAGTACTTGGCAAAGATTTTTAAAGACTTGACTCTACACAAACGGCCTGTTGTAAAGGAACGTAAACCAAATACTACACGTATGATATTTGTTGCCGGTGGATTTTTTCGTCAGTCTCTAGATATTTTAGAGGCCTATAATGTTGACGATAAAACATGGACAACATTACGCAGTTTGCGAATACCCCGGTCAGGTTTGGGCGCTGCCTTTCTAAAAGGAGTATTTTATGCTGTCGGTGGAAGAAACAATTCAATCGGCTCCTCTTATGACTCAGATTGGGTTGATCGTTACAATGCATTAACTGAACATTGGAGGCCGTGTGCACCGATGACTGTCCCTCGACACCGTGTTGGTGTTGCTGTTATGGATGAACTAATGTATGCAGTGGGTGGATCGGCTGGTTCTGAATACCATAACACAGTTGAATAGTAAGTATTTTCTCAAATCTGTACTATATACATATGTAACAAACATTTTTTTAGTTATGATCCAGAACTTGATCGTTGGTTTCCAGTTCAACCAATGCACGCTAAGCGGCTGGGGGTTGGTGTGGTTGTAGTAAATCGGCTTCTATATGCAGTAGGTGGCTTTAATGGTACTGAACGCCTGGCTTCTGTCGAACGCTATCATCCCGAAAATAATGCCTGGAGTTTCATTCCACCCATGACTTGTGGTCGCAGTGGTGCGGGTGTGGCAGCCATTAATCAATACATTTATGTAGTTGGTGGTTTTGATGGTACGCGACAATTGTCCTCCGTGGAACGCTTTGACACTGAAAACCAAGTTTGGGACCATGTAGCACCCATTAAAATTGCACGCAGTGCTCTGTCGTTAACATCGCTGGATGGAAAACTATATGCAATTGGAGGTTTTGATGGAACGAACTTTCTTTCAATAGTCGAAGTTTACGATCCAAAAACCAATACTTGGGAACAAGGTACTCCGCTTAGTTCGGGAAGGTCGGGTCATGCATCCGCCGTCATTTACCAACCATCATGTGTTAATAATTTCATGGATTGCATAGAAGATGATGGTCAGAAGCGTGATGGCAGTGGACCGGGCAGTAATGATAGTCGTACTGATGACAACTCAAGTGACCAACCCAGTGGAAGCCGTACGGACAGTTCATTAGGAGGAAGTTCATCGTTTGTTGGCTTTCAGACATCATTCGGAAGCAGTGGGTGTCGGAATTGCGAAAGTGAAGAAGTACCCACTTCAAAAGAAGAAATTTCCATAAGCAAGAAAAACGACTTTTTGATTAAACCACTGCCATTATTATCATCCGCAAAAGACATTCCTCATAGAAAACATCGCAGTCGTTTGTGTAGAAAAATTTGTAAAAATAGAAATGAAGAAGCAAGTTCAACTGCAGAGACACCGCCAGTTATGTCATATTTCGAGCAGCCATCATCGTCCTCACAATACGATATTGAAAATTCCAATACTTTTGTAAATTCTAACGTTAAAAACAATATTAATATCAATATGAATAAAAATCATACAAAGGCGCTGCCTTCTCCGAATGCCAAAAGAAAATGTCACCTGTCAGAATTCAGAACAAAGTGCCTTATCGAAGTCATACGAAAGTGTAATGCTCGTAATGTCGTACAAGAATATCTAAACTCATTACTGGAAAAACATTCAAAAAAATTTGGAACTTTATCATGATTGTTTTTATATTAATGTAACTATAGCATACAAATGTACATATAAGTTAATTACACACATACACATGCATTCATATTTCGTCACCTATAACCGAAAATCTCCTAACTGACTTCTTCTGAATAATTCCCTGATTCTAAAGCGTCTACTGAATAGTTTTAAACTGAATAACTGTATATTACATAGTTATAAACAACGCTCAGTATCTTAATAAGATCGTTTAAAATAATATGACAAATTGTCTGATTCACAATACATACATATATTCAAATCTTATAATCAGTATTTTGAGATTTAAACAATTATCATTATTTGAACTAATTAATATGTAAAGTATTTTTTGTCTTGTTTAATTTTGATTTGACATTGTTTTGTTCACTAAAACAGAAACAAGTTTTTAGTAAAAACATTAATTGAAACTTTAAGAAAAACTAGTTTCACTAAAAACAGATGCATGGGTAAGAAATTGCATTTCAGGTTCGTTATTAGTTTATTCTTAATAAAAAAAATATTAACATTTTTTAATGAACAAAATTAAAGGGTTTTGGATCAGAGGAATAAGAAATTTTCAGTTTAGGTAACGATTCGCACAAACAAACTATATTCCTATTAATATATCTGTTTATAATCAATATATACCTGAGTGTTCTCAAAGTCTGGTGGTATAGATAGAATAAAAAATATACATAGATTTTTAAGTAATTTACACTAAATAGTTCAGTATGTAATTAGAGAGACAACGTTGTACATACATATTTAATTTTACTGAATAAAAGCGCATTAAACATTCGCATAAAAATAATACATACATATAAATATTGCGTAAAATACACTGAATATTAATACTGCAGAAAATAAAGGCTCACTTAAATTATTCTACATTACATTGGACTTAAAACACAATAAACGCATTATGTTTTATAGTTGTTTTTCACTACTGATGTCTATTTAAAAATAAGCTTTTTAAGTAACAGTAAGTAAGATAAGAATAATATAGAGATTGTTTGTGTTTCCTAAATGACAAATTTAATTTAAATTAAAGAAATTATCTGGCCTGTCTCAGAATTCCATTACTATCGAAAATTAAATTATTTCCGAATAAACCACTTTCAGTTTTTAAAGTGGAATTGAAATTTGTATGCAATTAATGTTTTTTCTTAAAGTTTAAATAACAAGAACCGTTACTAAAATACGATTCTGGTTTTGATAAGCTAAACAGAATCAATTTTAAATAAAATCAATATAATTTTAATATTTTTGTGAACTAACTACATAATTCGGAATTTGGAGAAACTAAAATGTTTTTTCTTAAAGTTTAAATAACAAGAACCTTTGCTAAAATACGATTCCGGTTTTGAATAAAACAGCATCAATTTCTAATGAAATCAATATAATTTTATATACAAAATCGATCGGAATAATAACCCCTATTCTGCATATCAATTCGAATCGGAATTTTCTCCGTTTGGCAACTTTGGTATTCTGCATTTCGATTCAAAGCTCCGTCACTAAAATAATAACTTACAAAAACGTAGTTACGATCGTAATGCAGAATACACACAATCGTAAAGCTTTGAAATAAAATGCATTTCCTTCTTATAATACGGAAATGTGTGACAGACCTGTATATTCCAGAATGAAGGCAGTATAAAAGAATAATACACTATTTGTGTTAATATTATTTTAGTTTTTTTTTTGTTTTAATTTTTTGAAACATTTTTTTTGGAAATATGATATGTATTGCAGACCAAATGAGCATTTTTCTAAAAAATCAGAATAGAAGTAGCAATCTTTAAAGATTACTTAATTAATACGATTCATTTTTATAATAAATTTCATGTGGTTTAATGAATTTATTTTTAGCTGTTTATTGATCACAGACATTAAATAAATTTAACCAGGTGCCATAGGGCCTGTACTGAAGCGTATCACGATACTACATCTGATGATTAGTTTGCGGTGCTAATTAAAATGAACTGATGATGCGTAGTCAAAAGACATTAATGCAAAAATAAATAAATAAATGAAAATACAACTTATGAAAGAAATTAAAATCTAAATACTTGCTCATTTGCCGTATCATTATGTTTGGTGATTTATTTCCGAACGTACTGTGCATCAGATACAGTGAAGTGATGCATTTCCAAACAAGTCCATTATTAGGTTAGTTCTTGCAAATAAAAATTGTATACCTCTTTAATGTTGAATTACATTCGTTAGATCAAAATAAAAATCATTTCAATATTATAGCTGTATATTAGGGTGCCCCAAAATGAAAGTTGATGATGTTCCCTCGGAAAAGAAAATTTAGTTCATTCTATGATACTACAAATATCTCAAAAATTTTACGCTGACGTCAATATTTTATGGACTGAATCAAAGAATTAAAAGGTTCTTTTTTAATTTCACTTACTATTCATACATTAAATGGAAATGAAAAGTATGTAATGTATATATTTATTGTGTTGTACATATATATTAGTTTATTATTATTATTTTTTAATTAACATTTATGTATGTAATAACAATAGTAGAATATTAGTTTACAAACTTCTTTGTTTACGTGCTCGTGGTGGATTCCATGATACAGGTGTATTATCAGTTATTGAAACAATGTTTAAACCGCTCATTTGTAATCCCTTTATAGCAGACTGAAAAAAATAAACAAATTGACAATTACACTTTAATGTTTTATTTTTAAATATAGAATAGAGTTTTTCTAGTTTATTAAAATTTTTATTAGGTTGGAAATTATAATTTCAATTATTCCAATTATTCCGTTGACATGTAGTATAATTTTAAAAATGATCAAAATGTTTGATTATACCCTATGTTTTTTACAATGCTTCCTAAATATAAAGTTAAAATCAATTCATCATTTAAATGTGATAAAATAACGGTAAAAAAACATGAAATAAGTCATAATTTTAGTACTCATGGTTTAAATCTTAACTAAAAGAGAGACAATTTTTTATACGAATACCGTTTTTTTTATAAAATGTATTATAATTTTACTCTATAGAGTAAAACAATCCATGGTTAACTTTACAACAAAAATTCGCAACTACTTTTTTCGTAATATATACTAAAATTTCGTGTATAAAACGAAATACTATTTAATCAACCCCTTTTCTAATTTTACGAAAGTACGAAAACCTATTTTTTTTTTATATATTAAGAAACTTTGTTTTATTTTACAAAAAAATAATTTCGTTAAGGCAAGTTTTTTTTTTTGTTGGAATACCTTTTTTCGATCGTTGCGTAATTGAATGCGTAAACGTAATCGAAATGCAGAATAGGGGTGAATAAAAATGTTGGTTTATAATTAAATCTAAAGTATCTTTTAAACATAAAACAATTTGTTTTTTTAAACATACATATTTATGTCATTTAAAAAAAGTCGTAAAATAAACATATTTTTATTTAGCATTTTCCTAAATTATTTCGTACAATTTCGTATTTATTACGAAAGAATTTCGCGAGACCACGAAGCATTTCGTATAATGTACGACATTTTTGTGTATATTAGGCATGGATTATTTTCAGTGTACAAAAAAAGAGCGATTGATACCCAAACCAAATATATATATATTTTTTAATTTTAGCTTAATATCGTCACATGAAATGCAAACGCCCCTATCTCATATTTTTAAAATTTTACAGGAGAGCCCAAAAACGATTTAAATTGAAAAGTTTGTTTCTATGGTGATAATTTATTTTTATTCAATAAACAAACTGTTTAATAGTGAAACCTATCATATATTAAAATAGTTGATAATGGCGTATAAACAAATTTATAAATTGGACTTTTTTTAATTTATTTTCAAATAAACCTAGCCTATTGGCCATCATCGGTTACAAATTTCTACTTAAAAAAAGAATTTATACATAAAAAATATAATCATATAACAAATAATTAAAAATAAAAAAATAACTTATTTATAATAAAATAAATTATAAAATAATTTTGAAAAAAATATTAAAATTTGTACCGCCAAAATTTAAATCCTAACTCAAAACGCCAAAAGATTAATAATGGAAGTTCAACAAAGCCAACCAAGATAAACAATCTACACCTTTACCTGCAATATTTAATTGTTTTTATAGATAGGGCCTTTTGTTTTTTGTCAATAAAATAGTCGGAGAAGTCCAACTATTTTTGTGGACATTTATTTCTTTTGATGCAATACATTAGAATCAACAATAAAATCGATTTTCAATTTTTGGTTAGTTAGGGCCGTTTGCGTTTCAGGTGACGATATATAAAATAGGGTGTACTGTGTACCACTTTTTTGTAGGAATATCTCTCAAAAAACATTTTTTTAAGGCCCCTCAGTACCATTCAGCGATTGAAAATCTTGATCTCGGTACCATAAGCCTAAAAAATTTCATCATTTTAAGATTACGCGGAAAAAATTAATATTTTTGTTAGAGTATTATTGGTCTTCAAAGCGACTTTTAGTGCATTTAAGTGAAATATAAATTAATTAAAATGTCTAAAATTATTTTTTCCGTAATAAGCTTAAAATTGGGTAGTTTTTGGGCATTTTTAAAAAATAGTTGGCGAATAAAATCAATCAACACATTTATGTCTGTTGTAACTGTATTCCGTGTTCATTCGTATAAGGTCAAACTCAAGAGCACCACTATTTGGAGTTAGGGTTAATTTATGACATATTTCCATTTAAATATTTAATTTTAATTTCTTAATTTTAATTTTCACTTACCATTCTTCCCGGTCCTAAGCCACGAACTTTAACGCGAATGGTTTTCCATCCCAATTCAACAGCTTTCTATAGACAAAATTAAAAAAATATTATATTTAAATAACGTCATAGTATTGTGCTATGTTTGAACAACTTACACTTCCTATACTAATAGCTGTGGCCTGGGCAGCAATATTAGTGCCTTTTCGAGTATTTTTAAAACCTTCAATACCACAGGATCGAATTAGACGTGGAACACCTAATATTAAAATAAAAATTCTATATAAATAAAAGAGTAATGTTTATTCGTAATCGATAAACTCAGGAACTAAGGCACCTGATGGACAAAATTTCAAATATATGTTCCAGGGATCGTGAGAAGTGTTCCTGAAAGTTTTAAAACAGATGGCGCCGAAGTTTTAATTTTTTGTCAAGTACACCTTAACCGCTAAACCGATTAATTTATAATTTGATGGGTATATAGATTGTCAACATGGCTAATCATGGGCCTGCAACGCGGTCCGGGCCCCAACAGTAGTTTATAAATAAACTTATTTTTATTATTTTTTAAATATCAGTGTACAACAAAATTGAACATTTGTGAAAACAATAGATATGGCTAGTAACAGTTGAATGTATAGTTCAGAACAGAACAATGTTCTTACTCACTAACAAGGTGATATTTTTATATCATTGCACTAAATACAGTGATATCAAAATACAAGAGATTTTTGTGCCTTGGCTCTATTATTTATTATGAAAATGATGAACTCTTTTTTCAATCATATAAAATTTTATCACACAACAGATAGTTAATATCGGTATTTCAATTACGAGTATTCGGCATTGATTAGAGGAACAACTCATTTAGAAATTGTTTATAATTTAAGAAATTTGTATCGCATAATTGCATCCTTAGATGTTTTAGTTTACCACACTCTACTCACATTCTAATTTTAAAAAGAATTTTAAGGTTTAGGAACTCAAACTCCTTCTACGGCATAACCCCAAAGAACATACCTACATATCGTCACCTGAAACGCAAACGGCCCTAACTAACCAAAAATTAAAAATCGATTTTATTGTTGATTCTAATACATTGCATCAAAACAAATGTCCACACCAAAAACTGCTGCGACCATAATTATCGATTTTATTGACAAAAAACAAAAGGCCCTATCTACAAAAATATTTAAATATTAAAGATTAAAAGTCCAATTTATCCATTTTTATATACGCCATTGTCAACTATCATAAAAAATAATATGTTTTACTATTATTAGGTGACGATATGTATGTACATATCGCTCATTTACTACAAGACTCGCATAATCCAAAAAAGTTGTTTCGAGAAGAATGGCTATTTTAAACAATAGAATTAAAACTTAACTTTTTGTACAGTTAGTTTTAAGATTAGAAATTAAAGTGAAGTGAAAATGAACAGTCGCACAAGCGGGTGTTCGCAAAACAAAAATAATCGTAGTTTTTATTTACAAAATTAATTAATTATATTCAGTTTGTAGAAGTTAAAATATTTTTCATCTCAATTGAAATCTATATTTTATTTGTCTACTATTCGTGAAAACATGAGTTTTCGTACTTACGTTTGCAACAAAAAAATTAATAAATCTATACTTTAGTATGTCGCACGTTTCGTAGCCATCTGTTCAAAAAATTGAATTTTGGATTATGCCAATCTTGTAGTAAATGAACGATATACATGTATGTACATATATAAATATTAGTCGAATAATTTAAAAAGTGTTAACAGTAAATTAAGCTTTATTTGTTAATCAACAACCTATGGATACGTACCTTTACTATCAGTGAATGATATGATGGTATTGTTGGGGGATACACGCACATGAGCAACAGGAAGCTCATTGAATGGTAAACTATTGAAGAGCTGTGTAGAAGTTCCCGCATCTGGGAAAAATCGTTCCTTTCTAAAAGTAAAGAGTAGAATAAAGTTATATAAAACGTATATTTACATACATACATATATTTACTTACTTTCCCATTAAAGTGTCAATATCAATGGATTTTTCGCCGGCTGTGCCTTCGTCTTTAGCTGGCATTGAGGCCAACATTTCCTTGCGATCTTCAGCCTTTTTTAGAATAACGCTGGTATGCAGGGGTGCGAAACGTTGATTTTGAACAACATTACGGGTTGTTTTTAATACTATCTTGGATAATATGTTTTTCAAAGACATATTCATTTGGGACTTATTATAAATGGCAACAATTTAATTTATACTTGTCTACAGATCCCCACGATATGGACACAATTCAATTACATCACCAGTGATGGTATTTCAGGGATTTTTTAAAGGGATAAGTACATTTTAATAACTAACTTCTCGATGTTGTCACTGCCAACAGAACGTTATTGGATTTAGATATATATTTAGATATATATATTTTTCAACAGCTGAGCATCTTGAAAAGACTTTTGCAGTTAAATGTGAAAATATACACGATAGCTTAAAAAAAATATAATGTATTGCATTTTACGATACACTTTGGGACGAAAATTCGGCAATGAAAAAATATTTACCATCACTGTCACAAGAATCCACAGCTGATTACGGGATGTTTCATAAAAAATATATTTGAAGAGTTGGTGTTTTCACACACATATTAACATTAGTTGCACAGATAACCAGATAAGAAACCATTGACAGCAGTAAAAAAAGTAAATTCGAACCGTATGGTTTTGTTTACATTTTTTTTACCATTTTTGAGTTCCACCATTAGGTAAAATTTTAGAGCAAAAGAAAAAATAAAATGTATTAAAAAATCGATGAGTGTGTGAGATGAGCTGTATGATTGTTTTCATCGCTCGTTTGAAAAAAAATAGCAAAAAATGTAAACATCGAAGAAATTGTATGTGAAGAAGAATTGCAAAAAAATAAGATTAAAAAGAAAACAATTATTTTATTAAATATTTGCTTAGATTCTAATTAAAAGTGTACTGGATTTGTTTTTTAATTATTCCTTAATGTTCTTTCATTATAAAACACTTTTCAATACACTATCAACACCACAAACAAATTTTTTGACTTGCATGTACAGTAAAACCCGTTTATTTGATTTCAACGCATATTTTTTGAAGTTCGATATAAAAAAGGATAAATGTATAAAATATTATTCATGGGACTAAATAGTAATTCGTTTTAACCAAGAATTCTTTATAAAATATGTTTTTGTATCAAAATAGTTATCAAAATTCCGGTAATTAAGATGAGTTCGTAAAGAGCAAGAAAAAGTTATAAATGGGTTTGAAATTTGTTTTTTATATTTGAAAAAAATTAAGTGTAAGGTGAAGAGAGATGGAAATATATCTTTATATATTTGTCCGTCTTTTAAATCTCCCGTGGTTCATTTTACATTTTCTTTTGTTGATTTTTCGTAAAATTTTTTTTGTTTGCCTCCGCCATATTGCTAAAATCAGCTGATTCCAGTCTATGAGTAGTCTATGATTAGTTGTATTCGCGTACTTTCCAGTAAAAAATATCCAGTTACTTTATGATAGAATTTACTCTCAATCAAATAAATATCCAAAAAAGTACGCGAACTCAAATTTGTAAAAAATGCAAGTTTTTGTTTGTAAACAAAGATTAGTAATGCCCGTTTGCTGAAATCTCAATCGCTAACAAAACACCAAAAACAAACAAAATATGATTATTCTTATAAATGAAAGGATATTTAAAGTTAACAAATCATGTAGTATCATTTAAAATATATTTTTGTTTCAAAATTTCGTGTTACAAACATGTTATTAAAATAAAAATTTACACAAAATCGCTAAGAGAAAGACACTATATTATTTTAAAAACGCTACATGTCAATATTTATTATGATTTTTCACAACAAACAAACTCTTTTAAAAATTAATTTATGATAAATAGAATTAGAATAAATCTAATTACAAATAATTTTTTAATATTCGTGTGTTATTAATTTATATATTTATTTCTAAAAATGTAAAACTTACCAAATTTTCGTTTTCTTTGGTTTGTTTACATATTCACTAACCAACCAACAATTGTTACAAATTATTACAAATAGTTACAAATTATCGAGTACGTGAACAGACCTATTATATAGTGAATAATATATAATTTATTTATAATACCATTATTAAAACCATATTTAAATATACTTGACAAAACGTCGGCAGACAAGTTGTCAGTTTTTTATTTATGTTAATACGTAGAGGTAACAAAACGCTGATTTTATCACGACAACTCACAGATAATTTTATTGAAATAATGCTATATTTTATAAAAACAATTAAAATTAAATGCAAATTTTGTAAATAAACACTAATTTCACTAAAACTAATGTTAAAAATCAATTTTAATTGCACAAAAACAAAATTCTAAACAAATTTTACAATAAAATGACGTTTGTTATCAAGACAACGTTGTCTAAACAATTGTTTAGACAACACTGTCATAACGGCGTTATAACGCTAATAAATGCCGTCTGTACCTGCTAATTTTTTATTATGATAACAATTTGACGTTTAGCATAATAAATATTTGTCTAATATAGACACGGGCTAATTATCAAATGTCTTCTTCTTCTTCTGTTGCTGTTACTCTCAGTAACATTGTCAATCATTGGAAAAGACCACCGAAACATATGTTTTTATTGTGGTCTTTACTAAAGTGTTTGGTGTAAATAGATATTTTCATTCATTTTTATTATTTTTCTTTTTCTCTATCTCTCTTTTTTTATCTCATTCTTTCTTTTCGGTTCTTTTTTTCTCTTCCTTTTTTCTTTCATTTTTTCTCTTTTTTTTAAAAAAAAAAACGTTATAAAATTATAGGTATTAAATAGAACGTCGCGGCACTACTAACGCTACCGTGACAAGAACAGTTAACAGTAAGTAAAATAATGTAACAAACCTAAATAACGATTACAATAAGTAAGTATTGAACATTAATAAACAGCAAATTAATACAAATATCATTTAACGAAATGTCAAATTTATAGATAAATAAAATAAAAAATAAATAAAAAAAAAAAAAAAAAAATTCGAGCCTTCGTAAAAAGGTATATACAAATTCATTTAACTATAACGTATATATAATATAATATAATATAAAACTATATATGTATATATAGGCTTAAAACCAAGTAGGCTTTTGATTATCACAGACGTTATTATATATTAATATTTATGTTTTTAAAAAATTCGAAAATAGACTTAAATATCACAGAATTATTTATGCTATGTTTCCACTGAGGCGTTTTGAGCAAATCTAGTGGATTTGGGCAAAACTAGTTGAAATCTTGTTGATTTGCCATACAGTTTTGACAAATCCAAATCTACTTAATCTACTAGATTTGATTTAAAACATGTCGAAAATGTATTTTTTCGAACAAGATTTGCTTATACAACACTGCGTTGTGTCTAGGATAAGCAAATATTACTATAGGCTATCCATTCAAGTTGAATGTTTTCATCGAAAAAATGACTTTTCATTTCGAAATAAAAACAAAACAAATTATAATTTTAAAATTAGTGGCATTTAATAAACAAATTTATACTTTTGCAATTGTAATTTTCTATCTTTAATGTTTAAATTTGAAGGAAATTAACATTACTGTCGTTATTTCAAAATAAAATGACGGGATTTGTTCGAAAATTCGAACATCAAAAGCGAGTAAGCTCAGTGGAAACACCTTGAAGAGGTTAAAGCAAATGTAGTAGATTTCAAGCCAGTGGAAACATAATATTAGTTTGAGTAAATCGGTTATATTCAATGAATTGACTTTATTTTTCATGAGATCGTTAATAAAGTTTAATCGAAAGGACCGAACAGTCAAATAAAAGGTGACCAGGAGACTGAACCTCACCACACGAGCAGATATTGCTTTGGACAATGTTTATCTTATAAACATGATTTAAGCATCTCGTGTGGTTGAACTTCAGGCGGTTCACCATACGTATAACCTCCCTTGGAAGAGTAGAATCACTAAACCAAGGTTTCACGTTTACACAATGGTTAAACATGAAAAGATGTCTGCCATATTCAGATTCACTCCAATGCGATTGCCAATTAGCAATCGCGATAGAGCGATCTAATGCCCTGACATCAGATATATAGACGCCAGTTTGAATACCAGTTCCATCGCCACTAGACGCTACACAATCAGCATAATCATTACCCTCAATTCCCATGTAACTGGGTACCCATAAAAACCTTACGTCGAAACCAAAATTCCCTAAATCAAATAGCTTTTCCCTAATCTTATATATCAGAGGACTAGTCCTACTGTCAGGGAACGATTGTATAGACCGTAAAACCGACATGCTGTCGGATATAACGACAAACCTCCCAGATCCTTGCAGCTCTACTAGGCACAATGCCTCGTAGATATCCACAGCTTCCGCTATAAACACCGATTGAATTGGGTTAGAAACAAAACATGCCCTAATGTTCTGATCTGGTAACCATACATTGCTTCCCACAAATCGGGTAGCCTTTGATCCGTCGGTATATATCCTACGATATGAAGCAAGTTTAACCAATGCGTAGTGTTCGAACAGTAATTTCTTCGCCATATGTGTTGCCTTGGCCTTTCCAATTGGAAGATATTCCACAGTGTGCTTTAACCAAAGTGATTTGAGGGGCACAGAATACATTGAGTGAATACTAGTGTCAAACATATCATGAGAACAATACTTGTCAAGAAATTTTGTGACGTATGAGGACCTGATGTTGTTATTCGACAGTTGAATGATAAATTGGCGAGCAGGGTGGAGCCTATTCGATACGATCGGCACTTCCACTGGACCCTCTCAAGTCTTAACATATAAGACGCTGGACAGTCAAGAAGAAGCACCGCCATGTACTCCAAGATTGGTCGAACCGCTCCCAGAGAAAGTCCTTTCAGACAACTGGGGTCGGACCCCCAAGAAACCCCGCAGAGTGATCGCAATGCATTGACAAAGCCAAACGTCCGTGATACCACCATATCAACGTGGATCCTCAATGAAAGTTTGGGGTGGAATACAAAGCCCAGAAAGTTGAAGGAATTCACAAAGTCAACGGGACTGTTATTCACCCGTATTGGGGTGATACCATGTATCCTTCTCCTGCGAGTAAAAATCATAGCCTTCGTCTCCGACAGGGACAACTCCAATTGGAGCAATTTTGCGGAGATTCGGTCCAGTGAAAGCTGTACCCTCGTTCTTGCCAACGATATATCAGAGTGGGAGCTAAATATGACAATGTCATCAGCATATCATAAGACATGAACACCCTCTGGTATATCATGAAATACGTCGTCCAGATATATGTTAAAGCAAATAGGACTGAGTATGCAACCCTGCGGCACTCCAGTGAAGGAACTTCGAGATGTGCATTCCACACCATTTGACACGTTGAGTCTCTTGTATAGGAAATGATTATATACAAATTTAGAAAAATCTACAGGGACTCTCACACAATAGAGAAATATTAATCCCATCAAAAGCAAGTTTAATATCTACAAAAACACCTACTAATGATTCACCCTTACTAAAGGCTAATTCCACGGCAGACCATAGCGCAACAATATTTTCAGATGCTGATCTTGACTTCCTAAAGCCAGACTGAAGGTCGGTAATCATATTATTGGACTCTAGGAACCATTCCACACGAGTACAAAGTATTCGTTCGAATAGTTTGCGCAATACAGGCGCCAGAGCAATCGAACGATACGAACTCGCCTCATTGCGATTACCTCCCTTCTTCCCAAGCGGAATAATTCTGAAATCGTACCAACTCATAGGGATGACTCCCGAGGAAAGAATAGCATTAAATTCCCGT